TAGGAAGAATTTGCTCTAACCTTTGTTTTTTTACTTAATCTCAATGAATCTACGCCTAAACGATTCGTGTATCTGGTAGATCTCACTGCTATCTAGTTTATTAATTACACTTCAAATGATACAACAGATATAAAGCCAACACGAGTAGTCTCAATAACTACATTATACCTTGTAATGTGAACAATCAATCAATAAGAAGCAATATGAAAACAATTATCTCTTAAAAATAATAACAACAGACACAAGAAAAGTAGCCTGCCTGTGGGCACGTGAAGTAATCGTGAAAAGCGCAAGCTGAACTTAATCGACTCGAGGACACTGACCTTAAATGAGCCTCATAGCTCACTTATATACCTGTCTTGTGCCCTGTAGTGGTCCGATCTGTTAACCCTTCGAGAGTTTCTCCTCAAAGAAATTTTTTAAAAACTTACATTAATTTTATCAATTTTATTTTTATAGAACTAGTGTCTAATATTCATTTCAGACCCCAAATTTCAGTTGCATGGTCTTTTTTCAAGTTATAAGCCTTACTAGAAAAAGTAAAAAAACCAGATAATTGACAACCAACAAATCCGTAAAATTTTTTACTTTAAAAAAAGCGCATTTTTTAAAAAGCGAAATTTGATGGCATTGAAGTTTAGTTCTTTCAATGCGAAATCAAAATAAAGGAATGCTTCCAATTTGTTACCAAAAACAACAGAGGAAATTAAAACAGAGTGTACCAATAGGTGCACTAAAGTGTCAGATTGTTGGAGAAAAAAAATTTGAAGTACATTTTAACAACGACACAATGTTCCACTGTTTACAAATTTGATCCATTTTATCGCAGTAGTTCGGTGAAGCACAGATTATATTTGAAATAAACCTAAAATTCCACTGTACCGATGATACAGTGGGATTTTAGGTTTATTTCAAAAATTTACGTATAAACAAGCGGAGCGTTCGAAAAAAAACTGTCTGTTTCCAAAGTACGGAAAAATGGATCATTATTATTCCTTATGGAATGAAAATTCCACTGAAATATCAAAACTGCCGGATAAACCAAAAAAAATTTGAAAAGAACAAAGAGTAAAACATCTGTAATTAAAAGGATAGTGACGAATATGACGAGTCTAAACAATCAGTTGAGGTTCAACTAACCAATGCTAAACCCTTGAGAAAATCATACGAGTCTTCAATATTCAGGCAAAACCAAAAAGAATCTCATTAACAGCACAGTTTGTATCAAAAGTTACAAACGGAAACTGAGAATGAGACTGTTGCTAGGCAGATCACAGTTGGCCACCGCAAAATAACTGAAACTAGTTCAGCAAGCAAAAGAAAAAACTCAACCACATTAATTAGGATTTCAAACTTCCGCCAGTAACCGTTCTTGGAAAGCTGCCAACAGCTGCTCTATTTACACACACAGATTAACGCTATTATATAGTTTCTGTGTTTGGAAACTGAACCGTTTACGCGTTTCTTTCTGCCTCCACTTTTTTTTTTTTTTTTTTTGCAGTTGAATTATTTGTAACCAATTTAGTAGCCACGGCTTGGTACACTAGAACTGTTACAGGTTACTGCTGGATTTTTTTAGGTTTGTAGATGTTATTTTCTGTTTTAGGTCCACTTTTCTTTTATTTGTTTTTCTTTTTATTTTCGGAACTTTTAGCTAAATATACCTCGGGAGAAGTGGATAATTTTTTTCTGCTTCACTATAGAGAATAACGAAAAAAGTTTTATTGTTTCGCAAAATCTTGCCAGTAATGTTATGTACACATTTACTGACTATTAAAATTTCGGTTGGTCTTTGTTACAGAAAGAGGAGATGAGTTTTTCGACTTAGTTTTATTAATGGTTGAATTATTTAGTTT